GATTTTAGAAGTCCAAAATACAAAATTAGGTTAAATCATGGTGCTGGGATATCTGCAGTTCTTCTGAAGATTCTACAGGACAATGTTTACCCAACATTCTTACTGTAGAGGCCATAAATTTTCATTGACTTTTGGCCTATTGTTCCATCTTCAAAGTACATCAGTTGACTCTCTCACTTTGACTTATGTTTTCTTTCTCTGAGTTTTCAACTGCCCTTTTAAAATAGAATTTTCAATTACTTTGTGCATACATGAGTGAGCATCTCCCACGTAAAAGTTCTCACATCTACAAAGTGCCTTTGCTGTATAAGAGTTTACTCACAAACCCTGGAGATTTGGATGCAGACATGTTTGGTGTGGGGGTTATCATTCTGGTTCCCGTGCTGTATTGACTATGTCACTTATTCTTTGTTCTGGATGCGGAACTGTCTTTCCTTGTAAAAGTCTCCCCTCCATAGCTTAAGTGACAACTTCCTTTGAAAGCCCTTTCTTTGACTTTACCAAACTCAACCTAGAGTAGAATTAGTACATTTCTCCCTCTGCTCCCTCGGTGTATTTTATTCACCATATGACAACAGGACCAGTGTAATTAGGTAAGCATTCATATTCTTTATTGGTCTGCGAACCTTGTTTATTAGACTGCTTTGCATTGTCTTTGTGTCCCCATTGCACCATAGCATGGCATTGTGTAACTAGAGTACATATACTCAGTAAGTGTTTATCAGATGACAAGCTGGAACATTGGAAATGAACTGTTTTTAAGAGCAGCCACAGTCAGTCTTTCATTCATTCATTCATTCATTCATTCATTCATTCATCTTTTTTCCAGAGAAAATTCATTGAGAATTAAAAAATAAAGAGTGGAATAAAACATTTGTCCTGAAGAGGCTGCAAGCTTATTAAGATAAAAAGATATGTAAATAAAGACATAGCTATTACTGTCAATAAGATGAAAAAATCTTGCATACACAGAAAGCTTCAGAGATTATGAGGAGTGGCCGTCACAATATTACTACTGCTGCTGCTGCTGCTACTACCATCAGTAGTTATAACAACAGCAGCAATGTTCCCTTACTGAGTGCTTTTGATGTGCCAGGGTTATTCTAGGCACTATATATACTGTTATAGACTTACTACTGTGCAAATAAAATACTTTCCATAAAGCGGAAGGATAAGTTATTTGCCTAACATCACACAGTTGCTAGGTGGCAAATCTGAGACAAACTAGTTGAGATAAGAACTTACTACTCTTCACTACTGTGAGGTACTCTTTATGCATAAGATTTAATAGTAATTTATGTAAAGCCAAGAGCTGAATGGTATTCAGGACAAGAAATAGGCACATAGGTTTAGCTCCTTTCATTCAGAAATTAAAGCCTTTTAAAATTAGTTCATTGATAGTAAAAATTACTGTATAACAGTGAGAAAATACATGAGAACTTCAGTCAATGTTTATACAGTATTCCCCTGCCCACTGTTTTGCTTTCTATAAATTCAGCTGCCAATAGTCAACTATATTCTACAAATATAAATAGAAATTTCCATAGATAATAATTCATAAACTTTAAATTTTGTGCTCTTCTGAGTCATACAATGAAATCTCACATTGTCATCCTCTATCCTACCTGCAATTTGTGAATTATCCTTTGAGGAAGTATAGCCAGCATGCGATGTGTATGCTACTTACCTTTTAGTCACTTTGTAGCCATCTCTGTTTCGTTGCCTCTGACGATATTGCTCTGCAACTAATGTTTAGGGTAATTGCCTAAATCAGAGTCAGTTGCCAGATTATTTACTTCATCTCACATCACCACAAGAAATATGAGTATGGTACAGTAAGATATTTTGAGAGAGAGAAAGAAAAGTTGTACAATTTTTATTAGTAGTATATAATTCTTTAATTTATATGTTACTCTATCAGCAGTGTGTGTATATATGAAAAACAGGATGCACAGGTTTTGGTACTATCTGTGACTTCAGACACCCACTGAAGGTCAGGAACACATTACTTGATGAAAAAGGAGAACTACTATATTGAGTGCACAGGGCTATTTCTAGATAATAATGTCATTTTTTTCACCAGAAGGGCAAAGCTTGGTTTTCTGTGACTTGACATACTTAATCTTTAAGTTTAAGATACAATAAATTTCCTCACAGTAGTTTTTGAAGTTTATTATTGTTTAACCAAGACATTAAATCCATGTAATTCTCCCCCATACAAACTTTCAAGAGATTCAATCAACGATCTTGATGTTACCAAATTGATACTTTCTAAATCAATTGAATTTTTAAGAAACAGGATTGCAAGCTACTCTGTATGCCTCACAGAAATGAAATGAGTGGGAAATAATATTTTAAAGAAGTGTAAAGTAATAAGATAGTTAAGCTGGAAGGGCTTGCAGTACATAGTTGAATCCTGGAGTTTCTTGGGAAGCACTGATTAAACTCACACTGAGAAAGGAACTGATTCTCACTGCTAACCTGAAGACTGAAGATACCATTTTGAAGATTTCCTGCCGCTCTGGTTAGTGCGGTGACTGAGAAATGGGATTTAGGTTTTAGGAATACATGACTAAGGCTTTGCCTTAATGTGGGAGTTTCTCAGATGTGTCTGATGAATCAGCTTTTTGGACTGGATTTCATTTATGTCTCTATATGAACACAAGGTCATTGGTTAGAAAACCGAAGCAGGCTCTAACCATTTAAAGATATGCCAGATTTTTAAAAAGATTTTCCTCAATGGTATTTTATAAATCCTCTGGTTTTCTGACAAAAATGTTGATGGTGATATTTTGCTACAAATGAATGATTTCAATTAATATTATGTGAATTAAATGCGTATTAACAGAATGCTATTTATGTGCATAAATTAATGACTTAAAATATTCAGAGGTATCTAAGACTCTGGAATAGCAAAAAAAAAAAAAAAAAAAAAAACACATATGACTGTGAAACCACTGTTTCAGTTTCCTTGATAAAATCATAGTGATGGAAACCTGGATATGCTCAGGCTTTCAAAGAATCCTGTGCTGTCATGAGTTATATTTGATCTATTTTTTGACTTGCCACTTTTTTTTTTGAAATTCAGTCTTTCAGCTCTCCCCTTCCTGATCTCTGATAAAATAAAAAGAACAGAGTATAGACTGATGGTTGCCAAGGGCTAAGAGGGGAGTGAGGAAGTGGGGAGGTGTTTGGCAAAGGGTACAAGCTTGCAATTAGAAAAGGAATAAATTCCAGGGATCTAATATACAGCATGGAGCTATAATTGACAATAGTGGATTATATAATTGAAATTTGCTAAAAGTAGATTTTAAATGTCTGGCCACAGGTAAAACAATTGCTCTGCCAAGTGATAGATATGTTAACTAGCATGATTTTAATTAGCATTTCATGAGGTATATGTATATATCCATCACAGTGTACCATTTAAATTTGTATAATTCTCTTGACTATATTACAAAAATTGGGGAAAGAAGAGGGATGATTTTCTGAGGAAGACGATACGGAGATAGCTAATTTCAAGTGAAATGTTTCTCCCTTATGAGAGCCAATCTCCAGTGTACTGTCCTTTCTGGAGGCCTCCTGAGAGCCTTGTAATAAGAAGAAACACTGTTTTTGTGGCTTTCATTAACAGTGTAGCTTATTTAAGTAGAAAGAAAAGCATTAAAATGTTCCCCAAATATCTTTTCAAGTTCTTTCAAAGATATTCGCAAAATCGCAATTAAATCTTTAGAGGAACAAAGTTTATGATTTCACCTTTATTGGAAATAAGGGCACCAAATAAAACTATATTTTATTGCAGCATGGAATATTCAAAAATATCAGCTTTGCCAATTTATATTGCAAATAAATTATTAGTGAAGTAGTTTTTTTGAAAAGATTGTTTCCAACAACTTAAATATAGTTCAAGCCTCTAAAGGGGAATTTAAAACTTAAACAAACAAAATCTGAAAGCATTTTGTGAAGCCTATGGAGACAGTTTTGGCTTTATGAGATTTGATTTGCCTTAAAGAAATGAGATAGTAATCCTATCCATGTTCTTTCTTTTTTGTAATTCATCATCCCAATTTCACCTGTTATGGATTAAAATTGGTGGTCAATTTATCACCAGTTGAATTAAATCAGCATGGTGCTGAATGTAGATGGCCCACCTGAGGAAGATTACCAGCATAGAGATAGGTGTTGTGGGTTCTCCTAAGTGTTGCTGTTTCACGCCTTTGGTTCTCCTGGAGGACCTCATCATGATGAGATTCCCCAATATTAGATTGCTATTATCATCAGAGGAGCTCAGGACCTTATTTGTGAGAGTGCCTGTGGTTCACTCTGGGAGAGCTCAATTCCTTACACTGAACATCGCTTCCTGGCTCTGGAGGGGAAGATGTGTGCTGTTTAACCTCCAGGAGAAGCTTTCACGCTGGCTCTCTGTCATGTACTTGACTGTTCTCATCATCAGAGGAACTCTCGACCTCTGTGTCGCTGAGGATGGCTGTGGTACTTTTCAGGGAAAAATAATCCCTAGTCCTAATTTTGAGCGACACTTCTCAGCTCCAGTGTAGAACCCTCAAGCTACTGGCACAGCTCCTTTACATCGCTGGCATAGACTTTCTGGCTTCCACCACTGACCTTCGGGCCTCCCCAGCAGATCCATAAAACAGACTGGCGTGAGTCCTTGTCACAGGCTCTAGACCTCCAACTGGACTCATGAGAGGCACTGTCATGGGCTCTAGGTCTTCAGCCAGACTCATGAAGCACATTGCTATGGGATTCAGGTCCTTGGCTGAATATTCTGGGTCTTTAGTGTCATGGGCAGAGCTCCTGCACTTTCTTGTGTTTGACTCTGAGTGACCATCATAAAATAATATTACAAATTCTGTGCCCTGATTGCAATTTTTCTCCTCACAACCCCAGACTGCAACAGCACCTGATCAAAAGTCTTAAAATATTATAACATTGCTATGTATCTTTAAAAATGTATGCTTTTCTTTTTATCTTTGCTTTAGGGAACAGCCTCTAAGAGCTGGAAGATGAAAGCTCCAATTCCACATTTGATTCTGTTATACGCTACTTTTACACAAAGTTTGAAGGTTGTGACCAAAAGAGGCTCTGGTAAGAATTGTTTCTTCTTTCTCCCTCAGTTTTAAGGCTTAAAATGACAACGCTGTATTTACATGTGTCATGAGTGAGAGGTTAAGAATTGTCGGGCGTCTATATTGTGGATATATGATAGATTTATGGATAAGTAGCAGAATAAATTAATTGTGAATTATGAAAGTGAGACTGGATTGAAATTAACATGGCTTTTTGTTGATGGCTATGAATTGGAATGGATTCAATACCAAAAGTTTTCATTTGGTATTGTCATATAGCATGATTTTCTAACTTCTTTATATAGTAATTTTAATTTTTGCTTGGAAATATGGTACAGTGTGTGTGTGTGTGTGTGTGTGTGTGTGTGTGTGTGTGTGTTAATACTACCACTTCATTGTCAGCTACATTTAGCAAAGATTCTTTCAGGATATTACTTCAGCTGACATACTGAATTTCTTGAAACTATTTAAAGAAAGCATCAGTGTTATTTAAGAAAATGTGACAGGGCCGTATTGCCATATTTTGGTAGGAAAAAGGGTACAACAGTAATGAAATATATGCTACAATATTAATGTTGAAACTTAATGAAAATCTCTACATTTTTTAGACATCTGAGTTTTTAGTTGAGTGTTGCTACTTTGAATTAGGGCATGAGGAAGTGTATAGGGCAATTGAATACATATCGATAGGAATCTGTGTCTGATAAATCACAGAATACAGAATCTTGACACATTCACATTTTACGTGGGATAAGAAAAGTTTGTGATTTTAGAGTTTTTAGATAGAAAGAAAGATGTGTATTGTGTTTAGCTATTAGAATCGACATGTTCTCTATGAATTCTAGAGAGACAGTAGGGTGAAATAGTTGGTATCATGTTCAAGAGAATTCACAGGTTGGAATATTAGAAATTGCGACTTGAATTTCAGAAAGGAGAGGAATGAAAGGGTTGGCATGGAACAGTGCATACACAAACAAGGTTTTGATACAGAGTTGAAAGTAACGTGAATTTTGCTGAATCTATTGGTGGTTGTAGAACAATTTATTATTGTGTAGCTGTTCTATTTGCCATTGATGTGATTGTAAGCAGTGTGACAAAGCATCATGTCTATGTTCACACAATATTTCATCTATATTAACTGGATATTTTTAAATGAAATAAAACTGGAATGGGATGGGATTATAATTATTGACTATCTCTTGAAAAATTCATTTTTATGGTTAAAACAAAGGATAATATAAACCTGTTTTTCCTCAGTTTCTATGTGTGTATGTCAGATCTATGATTTATTTATTGCAATGCGAATGTGACCTTTTTCAATCGTAAAATAGTGGTCACAAGTGAATTGTACATAACCTATAATTGTTCAGCAACAAAATTTATTAAATTAGCTCTAATTTGTATGTTTGTAAACTGTGGAACAAACAAATGGGATATAGTTGGAAAATTCTTATCTCCTGCTCTAGGACTTGGAAAAAGCTCAACAACTCGTTTCAAATTCAATTATTATTTTAATTATTAAATATTATTTTAGTTGTGTATTTTTAAACCTTGCTTGCAAATTATGTAGAAATTCTGAGACGTTGCCCTCTTCTGTTTATAAAGATAGTTTTCTCATAGTTACTTGTCAACATCCAAACAAATATACTTTTATATCATAAATTAACAGTGGCAAATAAGGCAGTTACTTGGATCTTGCAACGTGCTTGCTTTATTTTTGTCTGCAAATTGAATTAAGATATCCTTTCTCAATGTCTACATTAAGATCCTGACAAATAGAAATCTATTTGTTTGGTTTTTGGGTATCAAGTATGCAGTTTAGCAATGAATATTATTTTATCTATATGCTTTCATAAATTGCACTCATTTCCACTGATGTCTGTTACCATGGCACTTTTGTTTGTGAGAAACAGATATGTAGTTTCCTGAATAGCATCATTAGTTATCTCCATAGATCTAGTAGAAGAGAAGTGCACTTGGCATGTTCTCCTTAAAAGATTAATGACTCAATCTTCATGCTCAGCCCAACCTATAAACCTAGAGACACCAAGGCCAGAGAGTCAAAATCAATTTTTGATGTTTGATCTTGCATATTAACCATGACAGCTACTTCTCTTTATTATTTCTTCTTACCATTTACTACTACTTCTTTTTTATTAATCTTATTAAATATGCAATAGTTATGATTTAAAATCCAGCGTGTTTCACATGTCTTACTGGAGTGCAATTTTTAATTCACTGTGACCTCTAAGAAACCAGAACTAGATGTTTCAGTAAATAAGACCATGTTAAATATGTTTATTATTCACACTCTGATATTGGGTTCTTCTGTCATGTTGATTGTGTATAGAGTTTACTTTAGAAGAACACATGTGGTCATTTCACAAAAATTTAAAAGTATTTGTTTTTCATTATCAGATATAATTGGAAAGCAATAGGAGCACTTATTACATAAGATGCAGATGCATTATTTTTATCACATTGGTCTACTCCCCATGGCTATTAATTTAAGGGGCAAATTAAATCTGTTAAGAAGTTACAACTTTGTAATATCCTAGATTGAAATATTAAAACACAACTTTCGAATGTTTTCAGTAATAATATAGTATGCGTTTGTTATGGCAAATAAGTATTAAATCTAGTCTCTCAGGTAATGTTTTAAGGTTCTGTATATATTAGAAATAAGGCTTCCAATATTTACCCGACCAGATATTCAGCCTTTGTTACACAAATAGATTTTTCTCCTGAAACAATTGTATACTTTCAAGCTGAACTTGAAGAAAGGCAGACTATCAATATTACTTATCCCCTGTAAGTGTGTGAAGAGTTACAGCAATTCAGTGAGTAAACATTTGGGTTGACCTCATTTATAGGATTTTGTACAAAAACATACGCAAAGCACATGCTTTCTTAGAGATTTATATTGCAACCAACGTAAGAGTTAGATTGACATTGTTTTTTTCTTTTTGTATTTTTCCTTGCTTGCTGTTGTTTCACTCTTTACTCCCTCTGTTTTTCCATTCCTTACTTTCACTGTATTTGCTTTTATTTAAAAATAATATATTTTGCTATTGCCACTATCGTTGCAGATCTTTTTACTGTAAAAATATTATCACTAATTTATTTAAAGGCTCCACATCCATTAAATGCTGTATCTTCCATGCCATTCAAAGAACTTCTGTAAGTTTTATTTTAGATAACAGCTATTCATGCAATGATTATCTATCTATATCTATCAATCAACCTACCTATCCATCATTCAAAGGTATATAGATAAATAAACTTAACTTTTGTATAAATAAGGGAATTTGGGTTAAGTCTTGAACACAGAAATCATATGAACTGTTTAAGTACTATGACAGACAAACTATGATTATGGCACCTTGGAGGAAGTCATGTGTGAGTTGCAATTTGGTTACAGAATTTGGAATGCTGAAGAGAAATGAAGTTAGAGGGGTTTGCATGTATAAATCAGAAGAGAGGAAATCTGTGATGATTTTTCCTTTGCCTGCTTCTCTTTGCTTTCATTTCCATTCTTAGAATACTTAAACGTGAATATATGAACTATAACTTAGGTATTCTAGTCTCTATCATGCCAAATGCAATTGATGATCAAAATTATAGTGAATGTCTACACTTAAAAATTTATAACCATAACAACATGTTGTCATTAATCCCCCTCAAAATATTTACCTTCACTTAAAACATATTTACTCATTGTGCTTAGAACTTTCTGAAGCAGTTTGGGGAATCTTCATGCAGTGCAGTCAAAAATATAGCTAATGCTGCTGCAGAGTTCCATGCAATAGAAAGGGAGGTTCATGAAAATATTACTGTGTGTCCTAATCTACTTTATTCACTGAATCTGATAGTTTGTGACTTACAGCTCTTCCATAAAGTCAAAATGGCTGCCAGGGCAAACGTTTTGAATTGTTTCAGGATATGGAGCCAGCTACAACAGTGCAGTTAAAGACACTCCTGGAAGAGAACTTCCAGAACTACTTTAGAAAGTTTCAAGAATGATGGAAAAAGTGGGTTTGAAGCAAGAGGGTGTTTTCTGAAGGAGATAAATGGCAATCTGTCTTTAACGGCAATGCATGTTTTAGCAATGTATGCATTCACTGTATTTGTTAAACATACCTTGAGTGGTGTATGTTTCAGATTCAGAGTTCACAGAAATATCTTAGGTAATTGATGAGTACATAAATTAGTGATTATAATATTCAGTCTGTGGTTATTTCAGTGAAAATTCCACATCACCAAAACAGTCTTAGAAAGACAAAAATGAAGTAAAATGATGGATTGAGAAAACACTTTTAAAAAAGAAATTTCAGGATAATTTTGTATATATGAATATTGAAGCAAATGTATCAACTCAGAAAAATCACTACCTATGACATGCAAAGTATATTAGATGAAGACAATGAACCATTACAAATAATGAGTGTTTTTCAGTCTTGGAATACAGTGGAAAATCTGTCACAAGTAAGGGGCAATGAATCTTCCAGTATTTTTCCATTGGGCTTTCACTAAATTTAATGCTGATATAAAAAATTTTAATGTTGTTGTGTAGATGTTTTGATTTTAGTGGTATTTGCTCACTAGTGTCATCAGGATAATTGTATAGCTCATGAGTACCAATACATGATAAATAAGCAAGCCACTTCAGTATAGGTCAAAGTATTCATAAGTATTAGAATATGTGAAGAACAGGAAGTGACTGTATTACTTAAACCCAAGAGTCCATATTGTTCTATAAGTGATTTAAGATACATTAAAGTGCTCTAAGACAGTCTTCTATTAGAGAGTAAGCAGATTGCCACAGGGAACTGATATTCTCTTAAAGAAAAAAAGTTACAAGGGACACCTGTTTGTGGGAAACTATTTAGATGCAATGTTTAATGACAGCAAGAGAAAGGCAAGTCTCCAGAGGTTTTCTGAAACTTGTGACATTAGGCCCAAATAATTTAAAAGTCAGTGGTACATAAATAACCAAAGACACAGTTCCAAGGTCTAATT